AAAAAAAAAAAAAAAAAAAAAAAAAAAAAAAAAAAAAAAAAAAAAAAAAAAAAAAAAAAAAAAAAAAAAAAAAAAAAAAAAAAAAAACCTGGGAAAAGCAACCCATCCATCCAAGTCTGGCTTCCCACCGGCATCTCGTGTCCTCTCTCCTCCCCTCCCGTGGAATTTGTAATAAAACGTTTTTGCAAGTGTGTAAAATGTTATCATATTGTATTGCCTTTAGGATCACTCAGGCTCAGGTTAGATAGACACCAAGAGACAAAAAAAAAAAAAAAAAAAAAAAAAAAAAAAAAAAAAAAAAAAAAAAAAAAAAAAAAAAAAAAAAAAAAAAAAAAAAAAAAAAACCTAATTCTTTAGAGCTTTTAGTTAAATGCGACTGACAAGGCTGTTTTCTCACCCTCCCGTAGAAGATCTCTGAGGTTACGACAAGGAAAATGCGGTTTTTACTCTCAGTGTGGCTTTGCTGGATTCACTGACAGCCCCCCTGCACTTCACACACTGGTTTTTCTATCTGCACTTCCCCCATTTCCTGCTTCCAAATACTTTTTAGCCAATAAATCCTGCGGTGATTTTACATCCCCTTGCGATTTGAGTCCGTAATTTCCACGAAGCAACAGTTCCACCCTTTGGTTTAGAGCTCTGAGGAAACATCATCCCCTGCGAGTAGCCCTTGGTTTCTTAAAGGTTAAAAAAAAAATCACTGTAAAAAAATATTTAAAAAAAAATCCAGGATAAACTAAAAAAAAAATCGTGATTAAAACTGTGGGTACAAAGTGTTTGCTTTTTCTTGCTTGAGATGCAAAACTACCACCCCTGCCTTTAATTTCACTCGATGGCTTAAAGGTTAATTACTTTTTCAAATCAAATAGGGTCATTTTTCATGGACTTTCCACTCTGCTGGTAGATTATCCCAGTTCTTTAGGACCTGGGCAGCAGCACACAGTATACATCACTACTGGAATTCTACTGGATCGTCACTGAAAATCCACCAACACGATCTGAGAGAATGAAAGGAACTGCACGAAAAAAACTTTCATATTTCAGCAACCCCAAAACCCATCTGTGGTTCATTAAAATAAGGGGAAGAGCTACAAATTCCCTGGCCATTTGTTCAGGAGGATGCAGCTTCTTCCCATGAATGTTGGTAGGGAATGGTCCCGACCCATCACTGCATCCGTGAGGGTTTGACAACCAAAACCAAAAAGCACAGTCATCATCCAAATCCCACTTCACTTCCTGTGAAATTCAGTTTGCAAGATGTAATTTCAAATGATTTTGAAAGAGAAGAAAACATGGGATTCAAGAAAACAAAGTATTTTCACTTTTTTTTGCAGTGAGGAAAATGAAGTTCTCATCAACATTTTGGAATCCATTAACCCTGAACTGGACAGGTTTTAAGGCACAGAAATATTAATTTACAAACAGCTTCAAATCCTAAATAGCTGCAGCCCCAGAACTCTCTCCTGTGACCCTCAATAATTCATATTTTATAGAGATTTGTATTTTACTGCCTTTCAGAAAGGCCTCCAGCCTGGAAGGTGCCAGGAGATGGACAATCCATCACTGTCCTGGATTGACTGATTATCTGTCCCAAAGTCACTCCCCCCATCAGAGCCACATTCTCCACTCATTAAGGGGTCACCTTAATCCCACAGACCTTCACTGTCACCAAGGGCCACCTCTACACCTCCTGCACATGGACCTCAGATGGCTTCTGCATCCCTTTCTTTATTTTCTGATGATTTCTGCACCATTTCTGTCCTCGTTTCATCATATCCTTGTCCTCAAGTGTAGAAGGAGGGAAAGAAGCAACACGGGAAACACTCCACCCATCAGTAAAGCCGTCAAGTCCCCTCCTGTCTCACTGCTTCCTACTCACACATCCCAAGAACATCCAAAATAGGATTTTTTTTTTTCCCCTGATCTCAGGAGGTTTTCACACTGACTTTGTTCCCCACAGAGCCACTACGTGTTCAGAGCCTGTTCTTCAGGACTGAATCCTGAGAGTGGAAATCCCAGATTGCTTTGGGTATTGAATCCCAGAGCCGTGGGATGGTTTGGGTTGGGAGGCACCTCAAAGCCCACCCGGTCCCACCCCCTGCCATGGGCAGGGACACCTTCCACTAGCCCAGGCTGCTCCAACCTGGCCTTGGACAATTCCAGGGTTGGGGAGTCCACAACCTCTCAGAGCCCTCTTTGCTCTTCCATCCACAAGCTCCATTTTTTTCTGTATCAAAATGGAATTTGATCTGTTCCATCACACAAAGGAATCAAGGCTGTCTGTTCACTACAATCACTGCCAACTGAATATCTTCCAGAAACTACACAGAGGAATCCAAAAACCCCACCTGGACATCCCAGGGTCACCGAACCACGAGCGTTTTGGGTCGGAAGAGAACTCCAAAGCTCATCCAGTTCCAAAGGGACACCTTTCACTAGACCAGGCAATTTCCTTTTTAAATTAAATTCTTCAGGAACTACCTCAGTTGTCTTGGTTTTGTAAATGAAGCCCATTCCAAGCTGCTGACCAGGAGGAGGTGGGAGCAGCCAGGATTCCCTTTGGACCCACCATCGTGGCTGGTTAGCCCTGATTTATTGAAGGAG